TCTATCCTCATCCCTCAGAAGTTTGTCAGCCAAACATAATTCCTTTTACGTGATACACATGTCTATGCAATCCCAGCCACGATTTTACTCGCGCGGTCATACTGATTCCCCTCATGGTATTTATTCTCACGATTTCATACTCATGAGCGAATGACATGGGTACCCTCAGCTGGTTCAAGCACCATCCACTGACACGGGAGATCCTTCTTCTCGTTGTGTTCTCGCAGCTTTGCGATAATCTTGGCGGCGATGGCCTCGAAGTTGTGCGTGGCAAGAGCCAGAATGGTAGGACCGGCACCAGATAGACAAACACCGAGAAAGCCTTCGTCAGTCTTTGGGGACATTGTTTCAACGATCTCGGTCAGACCGGGGATGAGAGTCTGGCGGTAGGGTTGATGAATCTTGTCTTGCATGGCAAGATGGATGAGCTCGGGATCGGGAGGTGACTGGCCCAGGGCGACGGGCAGAAGGGCAATTCTCTGCAGGTTGAAGACCTAAGGCCGTGGATTAGCTTTATCATAACCAGACTCTCGGGTTTTGGCATACCACATCGGGACGAGTATAGTTCGCAGGTAGCACTCCACGTGCAGCATGTGTAGCAACCTGGAAGTCAGGGATAATGGCAACAGCCTTGATCTCCTTGGCCCATGAGAACTTGATATGGTGACCGATTCCGTAGGGAGGGTTCGGCGGCTTCTTGCCAGTGTCCTCACCTCCGGCCGGCGCAGGTAGAACTTCGCTAAGCGGAATTTCGGTTCGGGCAACGTCTTCGGGAGTCAAGGGCTTGAGATATGTTCCGACAAAACCTCCGTAGAGGGCAGCTCCGACATTGTCAGGATGTCTCTCTGGAATTGGGGTTAGCGTGTAACTGAGTCGATCGGAGGGTTAGATTTACCAATCATGAGACAGTAGTCAAATAGTCGGTCATTGTCGAGATGCTTCAATCCTCCAACTTCCTTGCCCAGAGCAACACCAGCAACAACAGCGGCGCCCGAGCTACCAAGGCCACGACCTAGAGGGATAGGGTTCTTGACATGCACGTGGGTCTCAACAGGGAACGCCCTCTGGTCGTTGCATCGCAGGACATAGAGCGCTACACGTGTGATAAGGTTGACCTGGGGGTCAAGGCTAATCTCATCCTCGCCCTCTCCCTCGTAGGTGATCTTGCAGTTGAGTGGGTGCTCGGACTTTGTCTTTGACCGATCGATGGTTACGTGAAGCTCAAGGTAGACGGACAGAGCAAGGCCAATGACATCAAAGCCGGGGCCAATGTTTGCGCTGGAGCTGGGGGTCTTGATGATGAATGATTCCATGACTGCTGCTGCTACTTGCTTGCTTGCTTGCTGTGGTGTATGCCGAAGTTCGGAACTGGAGCTTGTTACTTGGAGGAAAGGTTTGAGACAAGATACCCAGCGAGGAGAGGGTCTAACGGCGCGAAGCAAAAGCAAATCGGGGCTAGTACAACTCCAACGCCTTTTACTTGACTTCTCACGACAGAGGAATTCGAATTGCAGATTCAAGAATGAAATGTCACATCAGAAGAAGTCTGGCCGATAGTGGCATTGTCTATTACTGTGACTGACATGATGGTCAAAATTTCCCCGATGACGGAGCTCTCCACCACATGAGCGAAAAAACATGCGGTTTGGGCGCCCTATGTGTTTTAAAATTTGCTTCAAATATTAGTAGAGTGAATGGCATTTGGCGGGGTAAAATAAAACACTCTGGCTCTTCAGTCCAGAACTGTTGGCGGCGGGGTTGGGTTCATCTATCGAGAGGCTGGCTATCTATCTATTGGTCGATAAAGAGAGTTTGCTGAAGGGATTCATTCTGATTGCTAAATATGGACATTGAATGGTCTGAGCTGCGCTGGGATCCAATGTCGTAGTGGTTTGCCTCGGGGCTATCGGGTTATAAGTCTGATGGTGATGATGTTATCAGGGCCATTATGCATAAGGAATATGTTTGCTGCCGTGATGGAGTTTTTCGATACGAGAAGAGCCACTCTTTCTAATCCTTGGCTCCCTTTATGAGGCTCAGCTTGATTCTCTATATCTGACGTTAACGGATACGATGTTGCACCGTTGTCTCTGCCCAACGCATCCATTGTTTGCGACCTGTATACTTGTGGGCCTCAGCTTGCTTAGTAGAGATATCTTGAAGACCGTAGAAACCCGTGTATGCATTCATTACTTGGCTGTAGTAAGTCCACCGCCGTGCAAACTGGCATGCGCTGTTCAAGTCAAATTTGACTATCCCGTCCGTCTCTGGGCGATTTATTTCTCACGATCTGACATTCTTGCTACAGTTATATGCACTATTAGTATTTGGGATCAATTGTCTCATAAAAAGCTATTCAATAAATGACACATTCCCAGCCTTTAGCATTTCGATGGTGTTTGTTTTCCATGAACAAGTGACCAGCCATGCGATCCCTAACCTAACCGGCCGGCTATGCCGACAGCCCACTAACTACGGAGTACTCAGGAGTCAGAGGCTTCCAGAACATCCAAGCTCCATATCCCAAAATAGCACAGGACCTCGATTAGCATATCTCACCACCATGATGTCAATGCCAATAGTGCATCACGGGTTCTCACATCGGATTCACTTTTCGGGCACAAGCAGAACAGGCCTGGGTCCGTCTCGTAACTGCACCAGTACCGGAAATTCCGGCACTTGAATAATGAATAGATGGATCCTTGAGGTCTTTATGTCCAGGAAGATCGCTGAGCCCATGACGTTCAAATTCTCGTGTTCTCTCGATGCTCCGTGGGATCATCCATGTTGCTAAAACTCCCATTTGCGGAGTTTTTATCATCGATCCACAATCCCATGCTCTTGGCCTGGTGTTTTTGCTGTTTTCACGATGCAATACAACGTCAATAGCTCAGACCATACTGTCAATTAATTCCTCTTTGGGCTTCCAGTCATTCACGGTTCGTTGATGCGTCGGCAACGCAGGGAGAAATACGAGCAAGACTAGTCTGAGATAGACAGGCAGGACCCTTGAGATCAGTCATGCTTGTTGAAAAGCCGCGACTACGGATAGGTAGTCGTGAATTCGGCGGTGAGGTCATGGGATCACCGGCTCGGCACGTTGATCGAACGAGGCGATATCCTAATCCGTGGCACTAATTATTCAACATTGAAGCTTCAATAGTAAGGTATTGAGAAGTCAAGGCTAGGGTTATGACCGGCCATTCCGCAGCAAGGTCACCATTGGCCTCAGTGTAGCCTTACTATGATATTACAGATCTTAGTGAGCCTGAGCCTCTTCAATGCGCTGGAGCTACGTTACGTCGTGTTGTTCACAGGACGACACTAGCTTCAGCCTGAGCTCAAGAATACGAGATATTCCTCACCAAAAACAACCTCGTTACCCCACAATGCCCCAAAATGGGGACCATGACCGGCGGCAGAAATTAACCCCTACACCCCTGTACGACGGGAAATATTCTGGATCTTAGGTTCTGGGCCTGTCTATAGTGAATAGTCAACTCAACTGTAATGCGAGCAACCTTTCCGCACGCCACGTCCTACTGACTAACCTTTAGGCTCTACCTTAGGTTCTGTATCCGCCCCTCGAAATAGCATACGGCTAAGGCCAATTTTGGCAGCGATGGCACCTGGAGACGGTCAATACGAATGGAGCTTGGGTATCTTCTCGGCCGGGTTATGATAATCCATCTGCCATCAGCCATCAGCCATTCAATGCCAGCTATGACGCTATAATGGAGACATTCTAGGCTTGTCCAGCCTCCAGCCTTCCCGGTGGTGTTCTCGATTTGGCTGTGGAGAGGCTGATCACCCGAGGGTCCGTGATGGGTAACGTTAGATGCATGGTTCGTTTGTTCGATTTCTTAGAGATCGTTGTGAGAACTCAAGTATAAGAAGTGCCCTCAGTCTCATCCATATTCCTATTTTTTCCTTGCATCATCACTCTCAACAACAATCAACCACTCTCATCCTCTTCGAGCTTCCAGCCAAACACTCCTCAACACCACCACTACTTTCCTCCTCACTTATACACAAACAACCCAACAACAACCGTCAACATGAAGCTGTCCGGTGTCCTCTCTGCTCTTGCTCTTACCTCCGCCGTCTCGGCCACCACTGGTGAGTCTATTCACACTATTCTCTGACGTATCTTCACCCACTAACAATTCTTTCAGTCTCCTACGACACTGGCTACGATGACAAGTCTCGCCCCATGACCGCTGTCTCTTGCTCTGATGGCAAGAACGGTCTCATCACCAAGTATGGCTGGAAGACTCAGGGCAACGTCCCTACCAAGTACGTCGGTGGTGTCAACATCATCGAGGGCTGGAACTCTGCCAACTGTGGTGGCTGCTACCGCCTCGAGTACAAGGGCAAGAAGATCAACGTCCTCGCTATCGACCACGCTGCATCTGGCTTCAACATTGGCCTCGATGCCATGAACGCCCTCACAAACGGTCAGGCTGTCAAGCTCGGCCGCGTCAACGCCCAGGTTTACCACGCCAAGCCTGCTGACTGCGGTCTCAAGAACTAACCGGCGCAACTCTACGATTTTATGAGACGCATATGAGGCTTTCTGGATAGCGGACATTCTTATTCTTTCCTTCCTTAGAACTATGGGTTTAATACTTGGCATTGGTTGGCGTTTAGACTACGATCTTACACATAATCTACCTAGATACTACACTACGCATGAATGAACATAGAGCTTAATTGCTTTCACTTCAATTTTATTCTTCGCAATGCTATGAGGTGAAGTGTTTGAATGATAGTTCGAGACACTAACCTAATTATGTGGTTTGCTCCCCTTGGCCAGCCTTTCTGGAGATAACGCTGCTTGAAGAACCAGACTGACAGACTCTTACCGTCATCTAGAAGTTGCAAGTCAAGCTGGCCCTCCTACCGTAGCTCATTTCTTACATGTGAAATCGTTATCATCCAACCCCCTTTGTGTTTCGGTACCCTTTCTGTTTCGTTCCAACTGAGCTTGATATCGACTTTTATTCCCACTCCCGGAGCGAGAGAGGGGTCTCGGCACCCTCCGATGACGAAGACGAGGAAGGCGATGAGGCATGGAGGTCGCCCCAGTTGTGCAATGAAATTTCATCGATATCAGAGGGAGGGTCAGATAGAGGAGACGATGGAGTATGGGTCAAAGAAGATGGTGGAGCGTCGGATAAAGGAGATGAGGTACCCGTCTCTGGGCTCCTGATGTTGGTCGAGTTTATGTTTGACAGCCCTTCATGATTGAGACTGTTGTCATTTGTGATATTGACATAGTCGGGCGTTGGCATTCGTTTGGATGTGATTGGCTCGGGAAGTTTAGGGTCTGTAGCAACTCTGGTGAACCGGATTCCACCTTCTTCCTGTTCTTCAAACAACGTTAGTATGTGAGTGCTAACAGATCCGCAAGGCTCAAGGGGTACGTGAAGATCGAGGCTCGGTCTTGGTGGTCGAGAACAACCTAAGTGAAGAAAATGACTGGTGAGTTGAGTGCCACTTTCTCTGAGTATCCGACTCCTGAGTGCCGAGAGCCTCTTCTTTACTTGCACAGGGTAGAGGGAGAGTACATACCGCTGGGCGATTTTCCAATCCATAAAGCGCACTCGAGGATTTCGACACGAGCCACAAATTCCTCATACTCGAGGCCATGTTGTAGTCCGCCAAGTGGTATCCGAATCTGTTCTGGGGCCTTTAGGACCATCGTGACTTCTTTCCCCCCGGCGACTGACTCTATAAAGTCTACGAAGTCGTCTATCAACCCTCTCTCACCCTTGAACACGACACATTTCTCTTCGGGGCAGTATCCTATGAAGTTCTCCGCAAAAGAGTCTGATAGCTTGGTGATGTGCAGGTCGGTTGCAGCTTCAGTCTCAGGACACCGCGAAATCAAGACAACAACCTCGGATGATGGAAGCAAGTATATTGAAGAGGGAGAGGGTGAGTCTTTGCGAAAATCTGGGGATATGAGATAAGATTCGTAGGCCGGCTCGAGAATGGCAGCTCTTTTCTGTGTAAAATCAGAAAGATCCCCGGTCAACAAAGAACTCAGGCTGTCCTCGACAATCGCCCCCATTTTGAGTGTTGATAAAGTATTGGGTAATGTAAGGGAGTGATAGATTGTACAGGTAGTCCTTTATATGAAGCCCGGGCATTTATCGCAGAGTTGGAGGCAGCAAAGAGTGACACTGCCATGTACCTGTCAAGGGTTGGCAATCGGAGGAAGGCACCTCAAGGAGAGAAAACAATAAACGAACCAAACGGAAGGAGCAGATTATTTAATGAAAATTGACTCAACTTAGCTGCCTTATCATAAATATCCTTAGGTACCTTAGTCTTGTAAAGAATATCGGTTGATGAGTTTTATAAAACTCATCAACCGTGTAATGGAGTTGAGTCACTTTTATCTTTCTGCACGACAAGTCGCTGGAGGTCAGGACAGACAAGATCAAGGGTCTCTTATCCTACCTTAAACATCTATTTTACAAATCAGGGAACTTATCTCTCCACGCAGTTATTAACATTCAATGTCAATCTGTATATGGATAGACTCGTTTGTATCGGACACGGACCGCAAGAGCACAACATTGATGTCCCTATGCGTTGTGGCTCATACATCAAGGACTCGGTTGGACAAAAAGGGGTAAATCGAAGTAGCCAACCATATAGTATCAGACTCTTAGAATTTATATGAGTTCTTAAGTAATCCCATCGAGTATGGGTATTGTTCACTTTATCATATGAATACAATATCCCCTTCATGCAAATTCACAAGGCAAAGCATCGTCAGAATAATTTGTAGTAACAAGAGAAGGTAAAAAATACGGATGCTTGCAATAAGCAAGCTTCAAAGAGCGTTTATTGTTGCACAGTCCGCTGCTTGTATTCTGGTAGCCGTAGGGAGAGGGAGGGAGGGCATAAACAAATTCTTTATAGTCACTTACAAACACTTGATACGTCCGACTAACGTTAGTATCCGTTTGGATCCTTGCATGGATATGAAACAGCAGCATATGCAATAGTATTAACACTGATGTATGTGTGTTTTACAGGGCTCTAATAAGTCTTTTCGTAGGCTGGCTCAGCTCACAAGTTATTGCACTCTATACCTGGTAGGTACCTACTAGTTGCAGACTTTCATAATTCTTCGGATGCATACCTAGTACCTATACAGTCTCGATCTACAAACACCCAATCAAATTATCATTATTCCCGGGATGTCTAAGCGAATCCGAGTTGATTGCACTGTATCCGAAGTTATTAGTGACGTGACGTGGGGTAATCCTAGGTTCGTCGTACCTTCTAGTAAACAACGACTTGCACAAACTCCCGTCTCTCCAAAATGCAACTCTAACCTGTTTTTTCTTGTTTCGTTTTGGCCGCAATCAAACAAATCATTTTCAAGACTGAATCATGGCTTCGCTAAACATGCAGAATATGCCAAACGAGCTCGTCGCTCACATCCTCAGCTTCCTTGACTCCGAATCTGATTTACAAAGGCGCATTTACCTTGACCCTGCAAAGCTCACCCGGCCTGTATCATGCGGTCCATATACAACCCTCAAGAATGCTTCTTTGGTATGTCGCCTCTGGAGAAGTTCTGTGATAAAAATACTCTTCCGCTATGTTGTTTGGCCGTTTTGGCGATTTTACAGGCCAGTCGCACAAGATATCGCGTCGCAAATCGAGGTCCTGGATTTCATCCAAAGAAACAACCTATCATCCTCTGTCGACCACTTCACTATCCTGATCGATCTTCCTCTCGGATCAGGCCAGAATCGATATCCTGATGGCCAATTCTGGGGTATTCTGCCCCCTGTGTCTCGTCAGCCCGAGACGCCCATGTCCTGGAATCTGTTATGGTCTGTTCTGAATCAAGAGGACCGAGACGCCGAGGGTAGTGACACAAGGACTGAGGAAGACAGAGCGCAGTGTTTTTGGGATAACAACTGGCTTTGGCATACTATCTTTGATGTCATTGATCCCTTGAGGATCACCATGATCAGCTCAGTAGACATTCTCGCTTCGCTCTTGAGCCGAACTGTCGACTTGACGAATCACTGGGCTTTCAACAGCGGCTACTATGTTCTATCATTATCACGACCATCACGAAGTATTGCAGAGTCTAAAAGAGTACAGGTCCTGCCTTCGCATATTCCGGGGCCAACGAATCGCATCCCCTGTGACTTGTTCCATATCAGAGACTGGAGCTCAGTCCTCGTCAATGAGGGATCCTTCGCCCCAGTCTATTCGACCTATGAATTCTTTCACTACTCGGCAGCCACCCTTCTTCCTGCAATATTTGACGCTTCGGATCCTTCTTTTGATGCTCTATGTGCAAACCTTCATTCATTGTCCTACATCGCCACGTTCCCCCTTTCTCAGCATATTTCTGATCATCTCATCTCTAATTGCCCACCCGTGGAGCATCTCTATGTGCAACTGATGCCAAAGAATCATGATTTCTGGGAGAGCAGTAGTCTTTCACACGTGATTCTTTCCGACTTGTGGCTCGAGTGCGACACGTCTTACGCATTGCTTGTGCGTCAGATGCTGGAACCTGTTCCCCAGCCCGGCTGGCAGAAACTGAAGGTGTTCGAGACAGGTGACACACCCGCAGAAGGAGTATGGAAGATGAATACTTACGATGGCCATATCAATGGATCAAATGGGTGGAGAGAAGAGAGCGAGGGTATTTTTGTCAAGGATGATATTCAAAATAGTGATGAACAAACTATGCAGGAAGAGCCATGACCTTACGACCGGAATATTGACAGAGGTCAAGTTTATGAAAAGGGGGCAGCATCTTGGAATACCTACGTTTACAGGACATGGAACAATCCTATGGTTGCCTTGCAAATTCATTAGCACTGTTACCCAATTCCAACAAGCCCAGAGAATCTGGGTTTCAATTCAGCTACAAAGGAAGGGATTCAAAAGATAAAACAATGGCGCGGATGACTTTGATCATCATTCATCTACATGATGCTCTATCTTGGTAGAATATGAAATCTATCACTCATCCACGACTATCCTGGTCCAAGTAGCAGGATCCCTAGTGAATCTTGAGCCTCCCAGGCTACGTATAGATGAACCCTAAATCCAGACACAAACGCCTCTAAATGCACAAAGCAGCCGTTCGAGTCTGTACTGTACATAATAGACACGCCGCCATAACCCAGTTCCAAGCCGTTCCACTAAGCCCAAAACGCCATGTTGAATAACCAAAGTCTAATCTTCGTCACTGTCGATGTCACCATCCTTGTCGCTGTCCGAAAAGTCTGGAACAGGTTCCATCGCTGCATGCTCCTTCATCTCTCGATACGTACTCCAGGTCAGCCCCAAGAATGCGACAATGATCATGGCGCCTCCAACAATGGCGGCAAAGCTCAGAGGCTCTCCGGTGATCATCCAATCCACAATGGCAACAATGAAGATGGTGAGCAGCGCAGCCACCGATGACAGGACGGGTGAAGTCAGCGAGATAAGAACGAGGAATGAACCGCTGAAAGTGGCATTGGAAAGCACCGCGAGGAGAATGAGCCAGCACGTAGAAGCAGCTGGGATCTCAAACTTTTCAATGTTGAGCCAGTCGAGAATTGGGAGAGGAAGCCAGAGCACCGTGAGAGTGAAGAACCCAATCAGAGAACCGAAGGTGTTGGCAAAGATCATACCCCTACCAGGTGAACAGCCCTCGGGTGGGCAAGCATAGCGCTTGTACAAGACCTCGTACAGGCCATACAGAACTGATCCAACACCAATGACGAGGTTGCCAAGGAATCGGTTTCCGGCCTCTACACTCTCGCCTCCCTCCTTGGTGTCACCATAAGCAACGACGAGGACACCACCAATGGCGATCAGAACAGCAACCGACTTGTCGAGTCGAAGGGGCTCGCGAAGAAGTGGAACGGAAAATACGTATGCGAAGAAGGCGGAGCAATTGTAAATGGCCGTTAAATCCGATGGCGTTGTCAGACTAACGGCAATGTACCAACTCAAACCAGCGACGGTCAGTGAGCAGGTAATGATGGCAGTGAATCGAACAAAGTAGCGAACGGGCCTTGCGCGATGCTGAATCGATATATGAAATACATCAAGGGTCTGCTTTTCGATCATAATGGCGGTGGTGCGTAATTGCTGCTTATGTCGCCTCCAGAATACTGGCCATGGTACATCGCGCTTCTGGAAGCGTAAAATAAGGAGCTGAACTGGCCATAACACAACCCAAGAACCGTGGGTAAAGTACATCATACAGTAAGCCTTGTCCCAGCCAAGGTCGTGTTGGATGTATGCGCTCAGTTCAGTCTGGACGCAGAATGCGATCAGACTGATAATGAGGAAGAATCCTGCGTACGTGTACCTCTTCTTGGTCGAATCTTCGGCGGCAGCGGCAGCAGTTTGAGGGCTTCGACTGCGCATTGTTGATCGCCGACTGAGACTTGGTCTTCCCATTGATTCTCTGGGATGATATGGGAGATCGTCTTCACTGGACTCCCTTGACCCCTTTGATCCATCATTAGGAGGCGAGTAACCAGCGCGGCCGCGCTCTGGGTCATCTTCCTTGTAGAGGAGAGGGGTTCCAGATTTACCATCGCCATGACGATGGTAATTTGGACGGCGAAGGTCATTGGGATTCATGTTGTCCAATTCCAACCACTCGCTGTCACTATGGATCTTTGTATTCTTCGTGTCAAGATCGGAAGCGTCGTTCGGATGGTCGGCGGTGCCACGGGCGCCAACAACGTTTGGACTGGCAGTCGAAGATGGACCTGGTTCGCATGTGGTATCGTCGCTAGATGATGTTGAAGAATCCGAGTCTGTAGACGATCGATTGTGACCTTGCAGAAGGCGGACTTCCTGGTCACTGGTATCACGCCGAGGCATGAAGGGAGAGAGGGAAGGGAAGGGGTACTTAAAGATAATAATAAAAAAAAACCTCGACAAAATTACGAATACAACAGCCGAGGGGTGCGATAAAGGAGTGGAACGGCTTAGCTGATTTTGGGGCTGCAACGGGTTTGGTCTTTTTGGCAAATCGAGGCGTGGTATTGGATCCGTGGTATGTAAAGGTGGTGTTGAAAAACAGCCATGGATGGTTCGGGGCGGAGACAAGCGGGTCTCGAGACCCCGATTTTGCAGGGGGCTTACTCCGCTGTAGTGCAGGGGACCAACAGCGCGGGGAGTTATGGCACGGGGCAGGGGGGTTTTCCAGCACGGTGTCGTCACTGTTGAACCTGGAATCCACTGGAGAACAGGCTAAGAATGCTAAAGCATGAGGTGATTCTTTAGGTACCTTGCCTTAGAATCTGGCCGTTGGTAGGTGAGTTTGTTGCAACTCAGTGAGGTTATCGCGGTTACAGGTGAAAGGCCACGGCGAATAAGTTACCGTTAACCGTTGAAAATAGGTACCTTATTCTCTCGCTACTGATACTAAACTCTCTGCTCCCATGTGCCAGAATAAGCTTATGCGTGGTACAAAAGGACATTCCTACTGTATTACCTACAACAGGTTTTGACCTGTCTCTTGGATCTCTGTGAGATCTGATTGCATTAGATGCTACCCTACTCTTATCTTGTCCTGCAAACAAATGACGCCTTCGGTCATGTGCCCTCCGCATTCTCTCCACGCGCCCCCAAAACCAAGACAACCTTTGTGAACGGTATCACCATGCCACCAACAGAAATGGCTGACAGCACGTGAGTTTGTATTCCGGTCTCTAGGTCGTCTATGCCAAGCTCTGTATTACTTCTGCCTATTGCTATTTTACTTGGCCGACGCACCAAATAGAGCCTCGTGCACATCATATGTGTACTCCAAATCCCCGTGCCAGTAGTTGGCCGTATCTGCCTTGGAATACAGCCACGCCTGGTCAAGTGCCTTTACAACCTCGTCGGGCAGAGGTCCCTTTTCAACGAGCTCAAGGTTCTGCTCGAGCTGCTGGATGTTGGACATACCAATAATAATTCCATCGTTGCCATTTGTGACCTTCAGTCCAGAGTGGTGGATTATCCATCGCAATGCTGTCTCAAGCATGCTCAGTCCGTTCTTCTCGGTAGCTTCCTCGATAGCCTTCAGAGCCTTGAATGTGCTCTCTCTGAAATATCGCTGACGATATGCGGTGCCAATCTTGCTCTGGTCAGAGAAACGGCCGCTCTCGGGCTTGATGTCCATCGACTTGATCTTGCCAGACAAGAGACCACCAGCGATTGGGTTATACACGACGATATCGAGGCCGTATCTCCTGCATGCCACAAAGAGCTCTGCCTCGATAGAGCGGGTGAGACAGTTGTACATGCCCTGGTAGACCGTGGGCCGGACCCAGTTGTTGTACTTGCAAATCATGACAACTTCTGCCACCTCGTACGCGGTGAAGTTGCTGATACCGAACTTGACAAACTTTCCATCCTTGTGTAGCTTGTTGATAGCCTCGAGGGTTTCTTGGAAAGGAGTGCCGCGGTCAGGACGATGGAGGTAGAGCAGCTAATGGGGCATGTTAGTGCATGCAACTTAGCTTATCGGGACATGCTACTTACATCGATGCAGTCAGTTCCCAGCTCCTTCAGACTGGTCTCAACCGACTCGATGACCTTGTCGTATGTGTTCTCACCAGGCTGGGCGGGATACTTGACCTTTGTGTCCACAGTAAGTCCTCTCTCTTTCCAGTTGGTCTGCGAGCCAGTCCAGCCCTCCTGTTTGCCGCCAACATAGATACGGGCAGTGTCGACTTCGTTGTAACCCTTACTTTGAAAGAGGTCAAGAGCCTTGTTGTAAGTTTCCGAGTCAAAGATACGCGCGTCGAGCTGTTCACTACCAGGGGGTCCGAAGGTCATTAGGCCCAGGATAACACGAGGCTTGACGTTCTGGGTTACGAGAGGCATTGCGACGGTTGATGGTGTTTGTTAGTGTTTTAATTCAAGTCAAGACTACAAGTAAATGGAAGATGGAGGGGGTCAAGCTCTTTATAGTTTCTCGGAAAGGATTTGTTTCGGAGATGTGACTCTTAAACTCCAGCTCTTTATTGTCGTACCTTTCCGCGACCTACAGCTCATCATAGCACCCCACCAACGTCTGCGGCTTCGGGCGGGGTATGATTTCGGTAGATAGTAGCTATATAGTTACAGCCAAACAAGCGCCGTGAGAGTTTATCAATCGGATCATCATCCGAGACATTTGTTTACTGGTCAGGACAAGGCATTGGTGGATTAATAATACCTACTGTGCGTTTCCGCCTTTGTTGGCCAAACGATCACGATGCCGTTATAACGAAAGGAGTTGAAGGAGTTGAAGCTCCTATAAGCTACTCATCAGGGTTAGCTTCATGACGTAGATCCACGATTGCGCTTTGGTCCAGAGCTTCATCGGACTTAGGCTCGGTTAAAACTATATATGTCCATTGTTGATTGTTGAACTGATCAGAACAACAAAATGTTATCTATCAAGTCTGTGTCACAGTTGGATCCAAGAACCATGATATAACTCGCAGTGACTCGCTGGGTATCTCAACCCATGTGCTGGTGCCATCGAAATTGAATGTTGCATACCTAGACAATGACCGAGGGTCAAGCTTTCATGAATCTGAACAAGTTTGAGTCTGCCTGGGTACCCTAATTAATCTTCCATTGCATTGAGAGAAGTCATCGATTTTAGAAAACAACAAGAGACGTCCTTAGGAAAAGAATGTCATCAAATAACGTATTCGAGGTGGGGATGTATTTCGATGTCATTAAATATCGGATAAATATCGGTGACTGATGTTCCGCCTTCAACTCCAAAATCTCAGTATTGCGATCGGATTTTGCGATTCCCAATTGCCGAGTCCATTCCCGCTGCCATTTGTGAATGTGCCGTTTCAAACATGCTTTTGTAAGAACAAAGGACATCATCGGTAATGATCAACGGCTAACTCCCTCAGTCTCTCCTCCTCATAGACTAATTCCATCATGAGGGCGCAATTGGCCCGCCATGCTCGACGGGTCCTTATCCAACAAGTCCGATCCCCGTCTTGTGCTGTCTATTCAGCCCCCCTTCGACGAAGATTTGCACCCAGAACGATCAACAATGGCTATTCAAGACGGTTCTTCCTCGACGGCCTATTCGCCAAAGCTCCCCGCGAGATTCGTCAACCCGAATTCGAACCAGGATGGCAGAAAATTATGATTTGGAGGAGTCGCATGCTCGACAACTTACGGCCCCCGCCTACAGAAGAGCTTATCCAGGCATGGAAATCTTTCTTCGAAGGAAAGCTGTCTAGTCGAATGGCACTGAACGGTACGCAAGCGATGCAATGCCGTCGACTCCTCGAATATCTTATCAAAGAACGCGAATTTCCGACCCAGGCCAAGATTGAGATCTGGGATGTGCTGAAAGCTCTCAATGCTCTCGAGAGCCTCCGGCCTCGTGAAAGAACCGAGCATCATTTGGATTTCGCCAGAACCCTTTGGTCCGCCATCAATAATCCGAAGCTGCAGACACCAAACTGGGTGACTAGTGGCACACTATGGTCACAGTACCTCACTGTGCTATGCACCTTTGGTGGATCGAAAGAAGCTCTTGAGATTGCCTACGTAAAATGGAACGATGTGATAGAATTCTGCAAGAAGAAGACGAAAAATCCGATATTATCCTTAGCCGAGGGACTTGCCAGGGACGGCCGTGAAGAGGACCTTGTCGAACTGATCAACTATGCCGAGAAGAACGGCTACCCCTACGACAAGCAAATTCAGCGCGTGCTAGTCACTTATTTTGCCCAGAACAACCGAGTGCCCGAGACAAAGCAATGGTTCGAGAAACCACTCTCATCGGGAAGTCCGTCAAACAAGATTATACCCCTGGTCGCTTCTTTTGCTGCCCGCAACAACCTGCAAGAATGGGCGATTCCTTTCTTCCTTGAGATCGGTAACAAACTCAACGAGAAGCCAGAGCAGCATTACTGGGATAGCCTGTTGCAGGCGATTCTCATCATTGGTAAAGGCTTACCAGAGGTGGAAAAGATGATATCCCACATGGACAGTTCTCAGGAAGATATCAAGACCACCACAGCCACTATTAACAGCCTTCTCCGAGCTGCTTTAGGAATGAACGACTCGTTATTAGCTGAGGAGATTCTCTCGCTCGCTACAGATAGGGGTCTCCCGCTGGACGGCGAATCTCACCTTATCCTCATGGAGATGCGACTTCACGCAAGCTATCTGCCGGGAGTTCATGCAGCATACAAGAAAGTCACACATCATGAGCCCTGGCATGTTCAACCTGATCTCTGGTGGGATTTCGGTCGACTTGTAAACGAGTATATGATGACTCTCACGACGCAATCGACACCAAATTTCAAGATTATCGGAGAGATCATCGAGATGTGTGAGGAGAACCAGGTACTCCTTGAGCCAGAGACAGTTGCTTCGCTGTGTATCCGATTCTTAGAGAACGAGCAGCACTACGAGGTTATGGACATATTATCCGTCCACTCGTTCCAATTCAGCGCAGCGGAGCGAGAGGTCATTCAAGATGCATTCACCCAATTCTGTGTGAATCGCGAAACTAGCACTTCCCGAGCATGGAACGGGTATCAGATTTTGCGGCAGTTCTTCCAGGACCTTAGTTTTGAGCACCGTGTACAGCTGATGGAGGCCTTTTTTGAGCGAAAACGTCCAGACATGGCATCCCATGTCTTTGGCCACATGCGACAGCACCGAAATAGCGACTACCACCCCAAGCGTGAGACATACATATCATGTTTTGAGGGTTTATCACGATGTCCAGATGAAGAGCCTTTGGACATCGTCCACAACATGCTCAAGATGGATACAACAGTTGAGCCCAACACCCAGCTTTATACCTCTCTCATATTAGCTCATGCGGCCTGCGGGAAGACTACCCAGGCAATGGA